AACATGGACTCTAAACATATCCATTTTTGCAGCTTGTTACGAAGTGACGAGGACCTATTCATTGGCAGTTAATTTCCATATCTCATGCTTTTAGAGTTTTGGAGATAAGGTTGATTAATACGTTGAGACCCTCCCTGTTACCAGTACAAGTCTTATATACTATCTATGACTTTTATGCTTTAGAGTTTTGAATTCTGTGAATAGTGTAGGTTAAAAGTTTATGCATTTTTGTTATAGGATAGAAGCCACCCAAAATGAGTATAAGAATCAACAAGAACCCGGTTATTTGGTAGCATAACCGCCTAGCAAAATAAAACAAAAATAAAAATTAAGAGATGGGTGGGATGAACCCACCCGCCAAAATAACAGATGTTCTTATTTCTTAGGAAAGAAAAAAAAGACTCAGATCATGCTAGGGGTGTAACTCGAGGGGTTGTGCGGGTTGAGAGGTCATCATCCATAGGTATATAATTTTTAACCTTAATCCGATCTCAAACTTAGGTACTCAACTCAAGTATTGCTCAAGTTTAATTTGAGAGGGTTAGGATTGAATTCGAGTTATTTAATTCGGACTAATTTCGAGTTAAAATTGGGTTGAACTCAAATTACTTAATTCGAATTGATAAAAGAGAGAAGGAGACTGAGAGTCTGAGATAAGACTCAGACGAGTGAGAGAGAGAGACTGAGAGTCTGAGACTAGATAAGAAATGAGTGACGAGTGAGAAAGAGATCTGAGATTGATAGAAGCGCAGGGGTAAAAACTTGAAGTGAAATGAAAGTATGGACTCTGAAGAGTGAAGATGAATACTAAATCTAGTTAAATATATTTATGTATATTTGGGTTGAACCCGACAACTTGATGTCTCAACCCTTGGCTTGCTCGAATTCAATTTAGATTAGAGTTTTTTTGCCTAGGTCTATCTTAAGTATTAAAAATTCTAACACAAACTCTGTTTTTTAGGAGTTGACCTCAGTTTGAATTCTAATTTGCCCGCCTAAATTGTACCCCTAGATCAAGCAGGAAATATGATTTTTATCTAAATACCGTCTATTGACAAATTTTTTGGAAATTTGATTCATGATAATTGAACACCATTATAGGTATATTTGACGTGCATTTCAGAGAATTGTACATGTTCTTGCTTTGCCCAACTAAATAATACAAAATAAACTTGATTACTTATGACTAAGTCTATTTTGTATTTGTTCAAGGAAGCGTATACTAGTGTATGGAAGTTAAATTCCATACATGTACAACCTTGTGTTGTATGTGATCATTCTACTCTAATACCTGTCCTGTTACTGCCAAAAGCTATTCTAATTTCATGTGTTCTAATTTTAGCAGTTGAAAGGCATCGTCTCATTAAGAAAATTTTTAGCGAGTCATACCCACCACATGACAGTTTCAAGTGACGCATACACCCAAAGAAACTTTTGACAAATTGATAAGATGATAGAAATTTATTGAAAATATACAAATATTTTATCAGTGTGTTATATGCAGTTTACCTGGTATCTTTTCTCTATCTTATCCTAAAATGTGTGTGCGCGTGTGTGTGAGAGTGAGAGAGAGAGAGAGAGACCAAAAAATAATATCAAATTCATTTTCTAGTCTTGTTTCCTTCAACTTGCCAACATAGGCCACCTTTGGCTGCTGAATGCTGACTCTTCCAGAGACCTTATACTTGTGCCAATTAATTGATTGGGTCATTTTGTTGGAGTTTGTTCTGACTGTTCTTTCTCAATTCAAAGAGTTTGGTTGACACACAGAAAAAATATGTCAAAACTCTTTCATTGGTTTGGTTGGTGACCTCTCCAATCCAAGAAGAATCTCCCATATCTCATGCACCAATTCAAGTCATTATTGATTTCACATATAAGCCCTCTTTGTTTATTGGGTTTGGGGTGGTTTGAAGCGGGGTATAAGAAAAATAGTTCAATAGATTTCGTAATCTTCTGTTTAGTTAGTATTTTTAAACTCAAAATTTATATTTCGGCCCGGAAATGACTTTGTGTATTAAACCCACATACATGGTATTGGACAAACTCAAGGGACGGTGGATTTAATTACGTTAAATAACTCTTCTATCCTTAATAAAATATCCTATCTATCAGATTACATTCTAACCGTTCTAATTACTTATCTATGTAATTAAACAAACATGAGTATGGATTGAATTGACCAATAAATAATATAGTCATCTATAGAACAAACGTGTGTTTATAATTGTGATAAATCCGCAGGTCCCAAACACAGATATGGATTGCATATATAAATCTTATGTAAACAAAGATATGGGTTGGATTTAGAAGGGTTTTATAAAACTAATTCAATCCCTCACCCCAAAACCATCATATATGTTAGTGCACAATTCTCTAGTTTAAAGCAGAATAAATATTTAGACAAATAAACAACCTTTCTCCCACTTTGGATAAGTTGATTCTTACCCGAATTTTTGATATATCATTTTTTTTTATCGGACTGATATATATCGTTTGAATATTATATTACGCGCTATCCCTCAGAGCTCATCATTCTAATGTTTATAATTATATCCTCACAAAGGATCCAACATATATGTAAGGACAATATACAACATTTTATTTATTTTTTCTGGGTGTATTAGGTGAAGAAGGAATACTCACATTGTAGTAACCTAAGTTGTAGTTGAACCACCATTTTAGGTTTGCATGAGTGCATGGGAGAATCTCAGTTGATGTTTGTTGGCTACATGATTGTGTGTACTACTTATGTTGATTTGATTATTCAAAGTTTGTTAGCTATTACATATGACTTTAAATTCATTTAACAACTTGGCTATTAAAAGAAAGATAGGTGGATGACCCATAAATGGAGTTGAGTAGGTGAACTTGATGATCCAACATTAGCTTAACTTGGACCTAGATGAGTAAGCAATAAATAAATTAGCTATAGGTACAAAGTTGTTCTTTTGTTTTGTGTATATATTAACTATAACTCGTGACTGAAGATACCATATAATATAAAATTTGAGCGCTGAAAAAATTGATCATGCTATATGAAATAATAATTATTTTTTTTAAAAAAAAACCATCAAAATTTGCTTATAATACATGACCTCAAAAAATTTATCAATATAAGTATACTATCGTATATAAATAATGTTTGAAATAAAAATTATATTGAACTATAAATTAATTAAAAATTAAATAATTTAATTTGTGATATTAATGATTGATGCGATAGAAATGGGTAGGAAAAAATGTGGGGATAAAATTTAAAATGCTAGATATCTTAGCAATAACCTTGTATTTAAATACATTACGAAAAATTGAACATTGATCGTGCAAGATTTATATTTTAAATAATAAATTAATTTTTAATTATATAATTTAATTAAAGTGAACATAAAAAAAATAAGAGAGAGATAAGTATAGATTAATGAGATCGCCGGGGAAATAACAATTATTTTTTTTGTTTATTTTTTATTTTTTTGTACTATCCTTGTAAGGGCCGATGGATGGAGACTGGAGAGACAAGGGTAGAGTTGTGGGCTTTCTCGGATTTGCTGTCAAGATCTGTAACGAATCAAATTGGCTAACCAAACATATGAATATCATCCTTGATAGAGCACAGTAAAAAAAAAAGATGGGCTTTTTTTAGAGGTGGTTAACAATAATATAAGACAGTGATATTGAGACAATAATAGTTATAATAATATTAAATTTTTATTGTCACTTTTTATTGTCATTGTTCGAAATTCACAGAACTAGAGAGTAATTAACATGAATTTTTATTTTTATTATCATTATTCATCGTTATTGTCAAAATTCTACGAAATTAGACAATTATATGAATTAAACAGTCACACGATCACAGTACTAGTCACTGTCACTGTCAAAATTCAACAGATCTAAACAGTAATGTGAACTAAATAACTACACGATTACAATAATAGTCACAATTACTGTTAAAATTTTGTAAAATTAAAAATAACGTGAACTAGACAATCATACGTTTACAATAATAACCACAGTTGCAGTCAAACTATGATCCATATCTATTTATTAGTGGAATTTCAAATTGTTCCATTAGCAAGTTTTGTCAATCCCATTGCATCGTAGCTTATCCCCAGAAATCTCACCACTGCCTCACGCTTGCCCAACCCAAACTCCAATCACTAGCAATATCAATAACACATGGTCAACTCAGAAATCATTGCTCTCATTTTTTTTTTTTTGGTCAGAGCTCTCATTGGATTTGTCGAATTTGCTTATTTGGTACACAATTTATAAGTATTAATTTAAATTTTTTTTTTGTATTTATTTAATAACGATATAAATGGTAAATAAATAAAATTAATATTAAAATATCTGATATAATTAATAAAATAATTTATATTAAATGTTATTGATATTCAAAATGAATTCAAAACAAACACGGACTCCACACAGCAGCAGCCCATTGCCACTCTCTCTTATGAGTCAACGTTGACTTTAACCCAAATCAACGGATAGGAAAAACCTCCCACTATTTAACCGAAAAAATGGAAAAAAATTATAAGATTTAAGTCTAAAATTTTATTACTTTTTCTATATCCTAAAAATTATCTCAATAAATATAACAATAAAAATTACTAAAAATTATTTTTTTATACAATAATTATGTCAATATTTGATAAACAATAATAACTAATTATTATTTTATTTCTATAATATTAGTTAAATATATTAATCGTGTTGATTTTGTGGTGTTCGTATTTGACATTAACTCGACTTATTTGTTATTCGTGTTAATGAATCGTGTTATTTACAGATTCATGTTGAAAAATAATTAAGTTTAACCCGTTAATCTATGATTTCTTTTTATCGAAACAAATTAATAAATTGAGATGAAAATGTTGAATTAAAATTAAATAAAAATTATGTGTATTAAAATGAAATTATAAATTATCCGGCAAAAATGGATATGGCTGTCACAATCCCCTAGGTGGTAAATGAAAAATCGAATATTCGAATTTAGGGCTCTTCTTTATTCCTCCAGATATTACAACATTTTTTCTCAAATTATTACACAGCAGGACCGTCGTTTCAATTTCAATCACCAAATCATTATCTCCAAATCGCTCGACATCAATTTCTAAAGGTAAGTCGTTTACAATGTTTAAACTTGAGTTTCCGCATATTTTTAGTAATAAATTGTCGAATTAATAGTCGCGATTCGTGTCTATATCGTCTTGTATGCAAGAATTTCTATAGATCTGTTAGAACGTAGCTTGAAATTTGGAACAAGAAACGGGATCTTCCGTTTGATTTTATCCTCATTTCGTTTTTTTTTTTTAAATTTCTGGGAATGAGGGGAATATGGATGTAACTTTACAGAATTTCGTAGAAATTTGGAACAATTAAGGGGATGCTACATTCGATTTTCCGAAAAAGCAAAATCATTGAAACGTATAGGGAAGGGGTGGAAGTAGTTTTTGAATTATGTGGAGTTTGTGGTGGGAGTTGGAAACACATATTAATTGGTTTGCCTACTCTGTGGGAAGCCTATCCTTTGTGAGAGATTTAGTTCTACGGTATCGCCTCAAACACGGACGACGGGACCCTTGATTCAAGAGTATCTTTTGGAGGGAGCCCAATTTCCTGTGAGATATCCGGTATTTGGAGCTGTAGAGGGGCATGTGTTCTTTGAGTTGCTTTATAGCCTCGACATCAGCGGTTATAGGGATGAGTTTTTGTCATGGGGGAGTGCTATCAATAATTCTTTCTTTGTTAGATCTTGTTATAATGGACTTATGCTGGGGAAGGGGATGAGATTTCCCTTGGAAGAACGTATAGTGCGTGGAGATTCCTTCCAAGGTTTGGTTTTTTAGGGTGGATGGCATCTTGAAAGCTATCTTTACAAGTTATAATTTAGGCTCGAATGACATTGTGCTTCAAAATTGTTGTTGTGTGTGCCAGAAGATGGAGGAGACAAAGAACCATCTTTTACTGCATTGCAAAGTTGCTAGAGATAGTTGGGGTTCCATGCTTTCTCTATTTGAAGTGTAATGGGTGATGCCTTTCTCCATATCTGACGTTAATGTGAGTTTCCGGAACTCTGCTTATGCTAATGGCAGATTGAGGCAGGCTAAATTGGCAGCTCTACATATCCCATCTGTCAAATGCGCAAATGCAACTTCACCTAGCCTCATTTGCTGTATAAGTTTATGAATTAGTCTAAAACAAATGCTTCTTGAGTTTTTCCAGCTTTGGAGTTTAAGAGAATTTCCAAATTAAATGCTTCTGTAGGTTTTATACGTGTCTCGAGTTGTATACAGGAGTATTTTGGCCTTTGTGTATGCATTTTACTTTCAAGATACGCCATTTCTCCACAAAATTGGGAAAAAAAAATACTATTTTCGCATGTAACCAGGTGATGGAAGTTAGTCCATGTTTGTATTGCATAATAAGGTCACAAATTTGATTCAATGGTTATTTTGACTTTAGCAACATGCGAATGCTCATGATCTCACACCATCATAGTGTCTTTGTTATCAATTCAGGTCCTCCGGTAAGCCCAGTAGTGCAGATAGGCACCAACCGTATTGAAGCCATTGCTTACACGGCATCATGAAGTACTTGGAATACACACCTCTCGAACGGTAACTGTTTAACTCTTTTAGTTAAAAGTTAAAACAGAAATGTATGGTTCTTTTCTGTGACTGTGAGTACATTCCTTGATCAGAGTTTTATGATATTATGCTCTCTTTCGCTCTATCTTATTTTTTTTTTTAGTTTCTTATTTCTCTCATTCAAATTTGCTTTTGAAGTAAGCAATTATTTTGTTGTATTTTCCAGTATAAATGATTTCTTTAGTCATGTGAATCTGGGAGAGCGTACCATCAGAGGATTCCTTGAAGCTTACTCTTGTAAGTACGAATTTCACTTTGTTGATATTCAGGATGCTTGTAGTGTATATCTGAACCTAAAGAACGCGTAATTTGTTCTGCTTTGTGTTACTCTAGGCAAACATACAGGAACTGATAAGAAGCTGTCACTAAGCTTGGAAAATGAGGTAGTTTAGCATTTAAAATATTTTATATGTTTGGTCTACTTCTTTGATTGCTGTGCTTACTTTTCTTTCTTGTTTTGTCTGACCTACCAAAATGTTGTCTTGAAAATCATTTTACTTCCGAATTTAGTGTTTGCATCTCTTTACTGATATTTTCTTTAAGGATGTCTTTCCACTCTTCGGGGCTGATCCTCTAGAATACTCAATTTGTTAGTTTCTTGGTAACATTTTTTCCCATTTCCACCAGTTAATCTTTGGTGTTTTATACATTTGTTTCAACCAGATTCTTGATTATATTGGAAAGTCTTCAGACACCGACTCTTCCTCACCAGTTGAATATTTGACTAGTAGATCCAGGTGGTGAATTTATTCGAGATTGGTCCATAAACTGTTGTTTCATTTTGTGTCTCTTTAACTTGTTTTTCTAAATGTGAATTCAGCCGAAAGACATTGATTTATCTGATTCTTACTCTCTATCACATGTATCCGGACTATGACTTCAGGTAACTCTGTATCTTTTGTTGTGTTTAGATTATATAAATTTGATGGGGAGCTGACAAAGAGGGTTATGGGTAATGCCAATGTCAGCTTTATTGGCGACATGGCAACCCGCTGTATGACCCTCTCTTAACTGCCTTGGGAGTGTTGTCAAAAGGTCTGACAGACAGTTCACAAAACTGTTGCTCTTGGAGGAGCTGAGAGTTCAAGTCTCTCCATTTCCCAAAACTAAATTTGCATCTGGATGCTTGTCTTACTCAACTTGTATTACTTCCATCTTGCATGATACTGACGTAACTATGTGGATTTTGCCACTGTTTCCTTATCCTATAACATTGCCAACTTCCATGCGGTTTACCAGTGCAGTGAACGCTCACCAGTTTTTCACAGAGGAAAGCTGGGACAGTTTTAAGCAGATATTTGATAACTACATGTTTGAAGCATCAAAGGTATTTCCCTATAAATGCTTTTGTGTGGTTTGAATTAGGTTTATTGCAGATAGTACACCAATTTGTCGGCATCATTGGCTGAAGTGGCAAATACACCCCTCTTTTTTCGTTAAATGACAGTTAAAATTTGTGTGTATCCTATGCAACTGCCTGTTTTCATCCTATTGGAGAAATTATAGTATTATCTTTTTGGAATTCCTGCAATTGGCAGATCTTACCAAATCATTTTAGTTTGGGTTTTGCAACTTGATGAGCAGCTTCAATACTTTTTGAAGCTGATTGCTGAGTACTTTTTGGGTCGGTTGCAGGAATGGGCTGAGGCAAATGAGTGTAGTTCTCTGCTGGATACCTTGTACAAGGCTTTAGATGAGGTTAGCATAGTTTTTTTTTTGATCCAAAGATTAGCATAGTTGAAACAATGAAAAAGAATTAAAAAAAGAACAAGAGGGTCAATTTGGTAACTTGTGTCAATGCAGGTTGTGAAACTAGCAGAATGTGATATTTACAGTTACAATCCAGATTCTGATGCAGATCCATTTCTAGAGAGAGGAGCCATGTGAGTGTTGTTATTAGTACGTAACTTTTAGTGATGCAGCTGCAGTTATGATGGATTTCTGTTTTTTTTTTTTTCAGATGGTCATACCATTTCTTCTTCTACAATAGAAAACTCAAGCGTGTTGTGAGCTTCCGTTTCTGTTGTTTGAGGTGGTTTTTTCCCTCTTAAATGTTGCACCATATTAAATAGTTGCTGTTTTACCACCACATCCTACGAGTCTTTTTATTTTTTGCCTGACCCAATGGCTGTTTTTTGACAGCAACTTGGTGGGCGAGGGTTTTCTTACCGACGGCTTGTGTCATGAGGAGGATGGGGAAATATTTGATGACATGGATATGTGAATGCTAAAGCTGTGTATACAATGTTTTATATTGTCAATATATCTCACACCCAACTCTCTTGTAACTTGGGAAATTCTGTAGTTGTAAATTCTGTACGACATTCGTGTTGTTAGGAAACTAGGGACTTGCTTATTGCTCTACTTCACAGGGCATCTTGTTGGTTATGTAATCAGAATAAATTTAGGCTTGTGGACAAATATGCTGTGATTTTTGTTGTAATGGTATCCTTTGACTCTGTTCCTTTTACTTATAATGTACTGCCTAAAATCTTAGCTTATTTTCAAATCTTGCTGAACCAAATATGATAGGATGAAATAGAATGTAATAGAAATAAAGACAAGAAATGGGTTACCTACCCTTTAATGGTCAAAGCGAGTTTTTTTTATTCTGAATTCTTTAATTTATAATTAATCAAATCTCTCCAAGTACATTTTGAACTTACGATCGATCGTTTTACTACTGACAAACAATAAGAGAGTAGATTTCATAGAATTAAATTTTCGTTCTCAGCTTACGGCCAATATGAGTTTGAAATTTTCCCTCGTAACTTCCGAAATTTCTTCGTATTTTGTTGAAAGAGGGTCACGAGTTTGGGAAATTGAATCCTCTAAATTGGGCTGATGGTTCAAGCCAGTTAGGTAGTTGTTAGGATTGAATCATATCATTTGTCTCTAAAATTTTGCGGGTTGTCTAGTCGAATCCTATCCGAACGGCAAAAACCCATAACAACCCATCTAACAAATCCTTGTTATTTTCAGATCACAACTTTGCCTCAATTTGGTGAGAAAATATTGGGTGTTCATCAAGCACCACATGATAGTGTTATGTTGTGTACATTACCCATTAAATATTATTCATTTCCAATTAAATGCTGTCATTTGTAAAGTTATCAATTTTTTTTAAAAAAAAATTAATATGTACCTCGCACAAGCTAGTGTTATTATAATTTCTTATTGAATGTGAACACCGCATGACACTGTCACGCAGTGGCATGTACGCACCAAATATTTTCTCCAATTTGGTATGTGGGTACTCCACTGAAATAGTGCTTTAACCCTAAAAATGTTTACGTAGCTATTGCTCACTATAGTCATAGATAAGTTCAATCCATTATATCTATATCTATATATATATATATATATACTATTTATAATCAGTGTCTGAAGATACTAAGTAATGTCAAAAATTAAACATTAATTTTGTAATATTTATATTTTAAATAGTAACTTATTTATTTTAATTATACAATTTAAAATTAAAATGAAGAGAGAGAAGAGACAGATGTGGATTGATGAGATTATTTAATATTAGAAAATGTGTTAATGTGTTGATTGATTTGTTTGATATTAGAGGCCGTACATAAAAAATGATGTTTTTTGAGCAAAATTTTCTTTTTTTATGATAAATTTTATACCATTGGATCAGAATAGATGAATATTAGATCAATTTTGACCGTTGTTATATTTTTATAAGCTAAAAATTCAAAAAAAATTCTATAATATTAGACAAGTAATTGAGCATTAACATTCCAATCTTTTCTAGTTGTATTATAGCAAAGATTTTTCTTCTTTTTTTTTTCCCTTGGTAATTGGAGAGTAGTGGGTACAGGTTGGTGGAATCTTTCAATCCATAGTCATGTTCTTGATCCACTTTTTACCTGCCTAAATATATAGAAAGTGACCAAAACTACATTAGGTTGTAACACCTGTTCACTTCTATAATATATCATAGATATTTCTATCACCTTTTATCATTATTTATCCCCCATTGAACAAGTGTACACTTGATCGCTTTCATTCCCCTACCCATAATACACCGCAATGTTCTTCCATAATTGTCATCATAAAAATATATTCATATAATTTTGGAAATAATTTAAGTGATAACAGTGAAGAGATGTAAATGCAACCGATCTTAATTTAAAACTTGACAACCCTGATCCTTGAATACCTTAGTCTCGACGTGGATATTTTTTCTTTGACCGAATCGATCATGAATTTTCGATATCGATTTTAACATTTTATGATTAATCATTTCTTTAAAATTATAGTTCACACCAAAAAAAATTATAACTTAACTTAAAAAAAATTATACAGTTAGCAGGAGTGGTAACCTTTCTCCTTAGATGCACAAAATCGAAATAATATAAAAAAGCGAATCAAATACGATTTGATCCACTTTGCATGTGTAAGTTTCATTTACTTTTTTTAAATTTAAATTTTATAAGTTTTTGAGTGTAATTTACAAAAATAAGTTTAATGCATTATTACATAGACCTCTGGTTTGACTAGTTTTTTGGTGCAATGAATGCCAATTGTACACTTTGCGGACATGCTGGTGTGCATGTTACTAGCCTTATTTGTAATTTTTTTTTTAATAGTATAAGGTGTTCGGACTTGATTCATCTATTCTTCTTTCTGGTTAAAGATAGATAAATTATTTATATTAAAATTAAGATATTCATGAGAGATAACGTCAGGGGGCGTGTTGAAGTATAAAGATTTAAGTTTTGTCTTCTCTAACAGGTTAAATTTTTGGAGTAAATAGTTGTTTAACATAGCTTAACTCCAATGAATTGTTAAAATTTGAATTCAAAGACATGTAGATTTACAACTCGTTTCTATTACGACTTAAGTTACCCTTGAGATTCTTCTTTGCAATTATGGGCAATGCAAAATGACGTGATAATAATATCATATTTTTTGGAAATTAAACCCAAATTTTTTGATATTTGTCATTTAATCATTTAGACTCTCTGATATTTGAAATATTACACACAAACTCCCTGAGATTTGTACACGCGTAATACTTAAACCTTTGAGTATTACCCTTACCGTCAATGTTCGTTAGTATAACTATTAGTAAATTATATTCAAATCCTCTGAAGTTTGTTGGAGTATAACACTTAGACGTCTCAAGTTTGAAATATTACACTTAGATCTCTTATTAGTTACAGAATTTGCGGAATCTATTAAAAGATCAAATTATCTCAGTTAAAGATAGAAAATATTATATCTATTACAGTTTAATTCATTATTTGATTTTTTTATTTTTATTCCAATAGACAATGTAATTATATATAAATGAATGTTTAATTGAATTCTATCTGTTCGTATCATGGACACAGACAACTTTTGTGTGGAATTCTAACTCCACATGCTTATCGAAAATGAAGGATGAAATTATGGGTAAAAGATTGCGAATACGTTCCTTAAACCGGGTTTGAGATTGTGTTATCTAGATGATGTCGCAGATCTGATTAATCATCAGGAGTCTCAAGGTTCTGATTTTTTTAAATCGTCAAGGAGACAGTGATGGGATTCGAATTTTATTGTCGTGCTGTCCGGTTTAATTAGTTAGATATTGAGTTGTCTCCTCTTGAAGTTCTGTAATATATATATAATACCAATGATTGCATCATTTTTCAATGAGACTAAGGTAGGGTGTGACATGTGGGTTGGGAAAAGACGGCCATTAACAGGAAGGAATTACACGTAACTTTGTACAAATCTCTCTCCAAAGTGTATGATCTTACCCCCTTTGCCCATGAACAATTTTTATTTGGTTAATTACATTCGTGGTCTCCGATGTATGTATTCGGTGTCATTTTGATTTTGATTATATCAATTATATTATATTAGTGTTTGATATTTACAATTTGATTTTAAATTGTCCCTACCCATAAAGTTGTCATGAATTCTGATGATTTTTAGTGATGTGTTGATCACTTGTCTTACTGTGGAGGGTCTACAGGTGTAATTAACCCTTTTTTTTTTTTTTATGTTAAAAGGGATATATAAGCAACACATATTCCATGGCAATTGACACGAACAGGACTCAAGTATGGACACAACCTGTCAACTGGTTTGAAAGAGGCAACTGGGAAGGGGCATGATCTTCAATTTCATGCAAAAAAAAAATATATAAGCAGTTGGTCACTGTATCAGCAATTTTGGGCCATTTTTCAGAAAAATAATCAAAAGTTCATTGCATTCGGTGCAACTCCATCAACTAAGCATGGCTTCTAGTAGTTTACCTTCTTTCTGCAGCTTAAGCAAACCATTCTGCAAGTCTAAGGCACAAAAATATCCTCGAGTGAGATCTGAAAGCTTCCGTAATGAAGGTACCTGTTCTCTTTCTCTGTCTAAGCTAGCAACATGTTGATTACACACCGAAGGTTGGTAAGAACCGAGGAACAATGCTCCCTAACCTAAGTAGGCCTCTCTTTCTCTCTCTCTATCTGGATGCTGGCTCAAAAAAGATGTAAATTTTTACTATGTCTTGAGTTCACATGCCTGCTTTGATCACTTGTTTCCATGATAACTGTTAGAACAAATTATACTTTGGATCCCCTCAATTAAGTTCCCCTCTTATCTTGCTTATTCATTTGTTACATTTTTCACTTTACCCCTTCAATAGTGACGATTTGTTTCACATAGTCCAAATTGTAAACATCCTTTACAATTATAGTTGAAAATTGTGCCTCTTCACCATCTGAACTTGTTTCACTTTGCCACAAGGTCCATTCACACATGGGTATTTTCTGGCTAAAGATAAAATACAATTTGATATTAGAAAGCGATGTGAGAAATTTAATAGTAAAAGGAGTAAATTGAGATGAAAATCATAGTTTTTATGAATACGAAATGTTATTTATGCTAATTGATTACTCCCTACGTTTCACTTCTATTCCTCTCCCATCTCTGGGGTAAATTACAAATTGACCCCTTCAATTTTGATAATGGCCTTATTTTGCTGCCTCAATTATTGAGTTTTTAAGATTATTCTCGTAACTACACACATTCATTTCAAACTAACCCTACAACAAATGTTCGTTATGTTTCTAATAGAACTGTACACATGTAGTAAAATACAAAACTTCTATGTCTAAGAATATTAGGAGAAATCTAAAGCCGAGAATCGTAGTTAGGAGGTACAACGTGAGAATTATGAAATCAATAGCCGTAGTTGGAGTTCTAATGAGAGGAATGTGATGATTAAAAAGGCAACATGAGACTAATGACCATAGTATAATGTGCATTGTGAGAAATATCATAGTTGATGGGATAATGTGAGAAATGGGCCTAGTTGAGAGGGTCAAAGTGTATTTGTTTAAACAGATGATCTGTTGTTATGATGACCAGCATTCCTTCAGTTTTGTAAGATAGTTTATTCAGCTTTCTTTTCTGCTGGTTTGCAGGTAACTCAGCAAATATTGTGGACGCCAACTTAAGTGTTCTAAGAGAGAGAATAGAACAAGTGAGGAAGAAGGAGAGGATAGACACACGACGTTGCATACCCCAAAATGGTTGGACTTATAAACCTGTGTATGATCATGACAAACACAAGAGAGATTCCCTATTATCAGAGTCCATAAAGCTTGTAGGTTATGTAGGTAGTGCATTTGGGCTCGTCTTCCTCAGTGGTTCTCTCTGTGTATTCATTGTTTCCTTTGCTGTTCATCTGCATACATGAAGTGAAGTGTAAAAGACTTGTAACTGGGTATACTTTTGTTATGTACTTCCATGGTCATCTGAAGTCTTGTTTGGATCAAAGGAAAATATGATAGAAACATTCTATACCATTTTTGCCTGTGGTATCTCAGATAGAAAAACAAGTGGTATCTGAGTTGTTCTAAGCCTAGAGGAGGGTTAGTAGATAAGTTCTAATTGAATGTTCACCTTTGAACTTTGAAGTTTATGCACGGAACTCCCCCACCCCACCTTCCTTTAATATATACTGGTAGTTTGGATATAAGTTTTTAGTAATGTATTAATAGAGGTTGTTAATATGTTTTAAGTCCATGCAATATTGCTCTAACTGAATTAGTTGTGAGATGGTAAAAGTATTACCCCCTGTTTGGTTGGAGGGAAAATAGGGAGGATGGAAAATGGAGGAAGGAAAGTGGGAGGGAAAGCTCTACTTTCCATTGTTTGGTTTGGAGGGAAGTGTCATTTGTGTAATGAATTATATTAAAGTTTGACATTAATAACATATCTTACAAACTTTTTCTTATTTTCTCAGTTGATTCAGACTGTTTGTGTTTTTAACATTTAAAAATAGTGATTTTCTTGTGTTATTGGTGACTCATAGGTAAAAAAACTTAAAAAATTTTGAGTCTTTCCCACCTCAAATAGAAAAAAAAAACCAATTGATATCAAAGTTATTCTAAGCAAATGAGTTCTATTTACATTTTGTTATAATAACATTGTAATTCAAGCTAAACGATATATATAAGCCTTGATAAACCCTAAAAAACTGGGGTAAGTCTTCTGGGCTTATTGACAGTTTGTCTGACTATGGATAGAGATACGGGGGAATTGAAGAAGTATCAGAGAGAGACGCATCGGTTTCAGGTAAGAGAGGACCAATGATATGGGTACACATTTAGTATACTGAATACACGTCTCTTTATTTGGTGCATGAAGAATCACGGACTATATATATCATGACAGTTAATTAGAGGTGTGTTTTAAGTGGTTTGGATACTTCTTAGTTAAATAAAATAATAGATTATGTAATCCCAAAAAATATATTTCCAAATCATTATTTTAAAATGAAGTTGTAAAGGCTTAGGGGAAGATGCATTGTCAAAATGGTGCTCCTTTCACTTTCAATGTTTAGTACTAATGCCTTAGTTAGGGAAGTGTCATTTTCATCTGTGCTTATAAACCACGTATACAACCTATTAGCACTGTGGCTTACAAACACTGTAAGAATTTAAAAAAAATGAAACAGACAAGTAAAATCCCAACATGTTTTGGGTCTCTTTAAGGTTGAGATCGGAATCGAGAAATGAGGTTTTTTTGGGAGACGGTAAGTGGGGCACTTTATAGCATTTTATCGAAATACATCGTGTCTTTTCACTTTAACAGCTACATCACAAAACAGTGACCAAAACAAAAACCAACGTACCATATGTTTTCATATAATTAAGAACATAGAGCTAGCCATAATTACATTAAGATATCCATCCCAAAACAAAGTACTGAACCTATCATGTAACACATCACACAACAAAACCATAGACCTTAGATATTTACATTACCATCACTTATCCTAAGAGAAACTACTTGCCCTTTCCGCTATCATGCAAACCAGAAAAGTATCCCTGGGGGTTGCTTTCAAACCCACTCCTTGAAATAAAAGCTCCATCCCCACCTGGAGCTTTCATCATCCCATCACCACCGCCACCACTTCCTTTACCACCACCACTTCCCTTACCACCAGCACCGGTTGCTCCACTCCCTCCACTACCTTTGCTGGCACCACCACCTCCTCCACTGCCTTTAGCACCCCCACCACCGCCACCCTTTCCACCTCCACCGCCGCCTTTGCCGCCCGTCATTTGGAAGATGTTCAAGCAGGTGTATAATATATCGCTGATGAAATATCTTTACGATAAGGGAGTGTTCAATATTTATAGAGGGTTAGTATGTAGATAAGTCGTAATTTAATGTCTAGCTTTGAACTTTGAAGTTCATGCACATTGAACAGATAGATTCAAAGCATATAGAGATCAACTTGACTATTAATTAAAAGAATGTAGCCAGCAGTGGGAACTCCCCCACCCCACCTGGTGGCAACAGGTGGAAGCACCGCCTCTTCCACAAGTAGAAAAGTTGGGCCTCCTGATATACATTCATGCAATAAATACAAAGGATAGAAGTGAATTGACACCCCCACGGGAAAGAGCAAATGCTATAATTACAGTTTGGAACTACTATGCTATAAAGTAAGTGCTCAGTCCCGCTTAATTTCGAGGTCGACTGATTTTGTCTTTATTGTTATTTTGTATTTCTTTCGTTTTTAAATATTTGTCGTTTAAGATTTTTGTGCAGCGATTAAACAAGATATAGAATTAATTTTGAATGACTTTGTGTTAACTTTGTTTGATTGAGTCATGTTCCGACTGACTTTTCTATACGTTAGGATGATGCCAATTGTTCTCTGTGGTAGCAGATCATTCTAACCTTTTAAACCATTTAATTTTAATAGTTGCATCTCATGACTTTGGAGGATAGTTTTTGGTAAAGGAAGGTTGTGTACCTTCCTATAAACTGGAAATTACATGGTGATAGGTAGCACACCCCCATCACGTCAGCTTGAAACTGATGTTTTGAATACAAGAAAGATTTGCATTTAATTTTTTTTTTTCTAAAGCCACCCCGTGTGGGTTGGGGCTTTGGTAGGACTCCTACCTGTATATATAACTAAAAACAAAAGTACAAGGGAGGAGAACATAGAACCAATTCTCCAGAAGTACAAAGGGGGAAGATTAAAGCAAAAGCAAGGTGGTGACTCACCACCAAAAACATGAAAAAACATAAATGAAAATAAAAATTCACCAACAAACGTGCGGAGTCTGTTGAGCATCCAAGGCGAGGATGCCAGCAATCCCAGATGGAAGGGATGACAAATCAAGAAATCGCTTATTAAGCTGCTGAGAGCAAGCTCAATTAGCTATGAAGTGGGCAACCTGATTCGCCTCCCGCATGACGTGACAGACGCGAGCTAAGAGAGAATCACACAGAAGCCGAATGCTTGTAAGTAGGTAAGTATAAACTCAACACCTAGTACCCTGAGAATAAACCCAAAAAACCACTGTAGCTGAATCTGACTATACTACTAACTCTGAAGTTCCCAAATTTGACTCCACTGTAGCATTTAAATTTGAAAAGGGGAGACTTCATAGATAAGATATAGATTATGACCCTTGTTTTGTAATGTTCCCTAAAAAACAAATAGAAAAGTCACATTTACAGTGAGGAAGGGAGAGACGAGAGGTGAGGATAGAGGTGATAATTTCTAATACAATACGAAAATAAGATTCGAAATCGATACGAAATTATCAAATTAGAGTTAAATCATTTCTCAAGACATATAACATAATCCGTTAACACGGACAATAAATGAGTTGAGTTATTATCAAATACAAACAACACAATATTAACACGTTTAAGTAGTACTTGCAATGCAGCGCACGTGAAAAAAATTTAGTTCATTAATTTTTTATTAAATTTATTTGAAAAACAAAGTTGATGAGTAATAAAATTGAATTATTTTTTGTAAAGGTAAGTAAATAATTAAAATACCAAGAAAAAAGACACTTAATCTTTTAACCTCAAAATTTGATAAATTTCAGCCAATAAATAATAAAAAATACTCAAAAATATGGTACATATAAAAATACTCAAAAATATGGTACATAGTACATTAACTTTTTTTTTTGGTGTGATACCTAACTTTAACTATTTTTTTACTTTTTTTTCTTATAGTTAGAATAACGAATTTTTGGAACATACAATTTTTATTAATAATGATATAATAGAATATGAGCAATGAAAAATTAAGTTTAAGAAATATGATTACAGAGTATTAAGGTTTGAATCGATTCCAATCACTCGTTTACAAAATTTAACAAATAGGTTTAAGATTGTTTGACTGTAAGTTAATTTTCTATTCTTGCTTATTCATTGATCATGACAGATTTTTATTAAATGAATTTGTTTATGTGAACTCTGTAAATTGTAGTTTTAGTAATTTCTAATTCGTAAGTGCTTTTAGAGTGTTTGTATGTTTTTTTTGTAGTAATTTTTTTTTGGATTCTGTTAATTAATTTTTTATGTGATGCTTGCAATGTTATGTTAGGTATTTTTATGTTAACCACATTTGTGATTCTTGAAGCCCTATCTATGATTTCTTGTGTAAAATTTTTTCCTTTACGATTCACGTTTCTATTTACTGTAATCCTAAACTTGTTAATATAATCTTCAGAAGATTTCTGTATGAATGGTTGAAAAGGAAAAAAAGAAGTAAATCATATCTTAAGTAATTTCTGCATAGTTTCTATATGACACTTTCTTTATTAAGGGTCATACTTTTGACTTTCAAGCTGTTTTTTTTTTTTTTCATTTCAGGTTTTATTTGGATTTAATTTATTTATTATTGGATTGATTGTTGGTCTCAATAAATGTCTGCATAATTTTTATGTGGCATCTTGTTTATTAACAGGTCATGCTTTTGACTTTCAAGCTATTTTTCTCAATTTTAGGTTTTATTTGGATTTAATTTATTTATTATTGGATTGATTGTTTGTCTCAATAAATGTTAAAATTTATCATCAATTCAAAAATTAAGAATAATTAGGTCAATATTATAGGAGATTTGAACAAACTTTCAAAATATTAGCTATATGTGCAATGAAAAATTAGATTCACAAGAAGTTATAATAAAACAAAGAAACACACACATAGAAAATTTTAATGTAAACATAGGAATTAATAAACTAACTTCAATTATGCCAAATACCTGACCTGCCACACAAATTTAATAAACTAAAACATAAGAATTAATAAATTAACCTTAATTATTATGCTGAATATTTGACTTGTCACACTAATCTCTTAGAAAGCTATTTGATATTAAATTAAAGAAAATTAAGTACCACAAAACATATGAATTAACGTACATATAGGAATTAATAAACTAAAACAGAAGAATTGATAAACTAACCTCAATTATGTCGAAAACTATAACTTTGACTTCATTGAATTTGTCACAGAAGAGCATGAGACTATAAGACTTCAAATAAATGACTATACATATTACATATATTTTTTTGTCTTTCCTACTTCAAATATATGTATATGTATTATCTAAAAATTACCAATATGTGGTATTAGAATTCTATTAGAATTTGTATAATTGAATGGAAAAGAAAGAATGTATTGTCTTTCCTATTTATTAGATTTTGAAAATATTTTAAATTTCTTTATATATATATATATAATAAGTAGGAAAGACAAAAAAATATATGTATATGTATCGCCTAAAAATTACCAATATGTGATATTAGAATTCTAGTAGAGTTTGTATAATTGAATGAAAAAGAAAGAATGTGTTGTCACAGGGATAAAATTTATCTATCAAGTTATAGAGATAAAATTATCTAACTAATATTTTGATAAAGTTTATTTAGGTAATATTTTGATAAAGTTTATCTACTAAGTCATATAGATAAAATTTATCTACATAATATTTTAGAAGTCAAGTAGGTATGAAAGTAGGAAAAAATATGGGTATAATTGGCTTTATGGTAATAATTAAGGGTGAAATAGGAAATTAAAATTTTTTTACTCATGCTGACATTTATATGTACCACCTAAAAATTACCAATATCTGGTATTAGAATTCTAGTAGAGTTTGTTTAATTGAATGGAAAAGAAAAAATGTGTTGTCATAAGGATAAAGTTTATCTATCAAGTCATAGAAATAAAATTATCTAATTAAAATTTTGATAAAGTTTATCTAGGTAATATTTTGATAAAGTTTATCTACCAAGTCATAGAGATAAATTTTATCTAACTAATATTTTAGAAGTCAAGTAGGTATAAAAGACAAGAAAATATGTGGGTATAATTGACTTTATGGTAATAACTAAGGGTGAAATAGGAAATCAAAAATTTTTCACACATGTTGACATTTATAAATAGTATAGATATAGATTATAAGAATAAAATGTTAATTTTTTATTATATTTTTATCAAGCAGGGATGTAATTTTTTTACAAAACGAGATATTTTTACTAATTTTGATTATTATATTTTGTTAAGTCAATTTTTAGTTTATCGAAAAAGTATGTGCACATTTTCAACTAAGTGATAACGAAATTTTAGACATAAACTGAGTGTCAAATTTTTTATTCATAAGTTATATGGGTCAACACGAAGAAAATAAATAGGTCAACAAGATACAACACGATTAGTTAAATAGGCTGAGTTAAGTTTGACTAGTGCTTAAGACGAACCGACACAATTACCACAGAGGGTAAAGTTTTAAAAAAGGAGCAATGTTGTCCTTATTAAATCATTTATCAAAGTTTGTATCTCAAATTAGCATTAGTGCTCACGAGTTGAACTAGGTTCTTTGAGGCTACATGTGGGGGTATGTTCGTGACCTAAAAATTTGAACATATTATTGACTTAATAATATTTCAAGCGATAGAGTTTCAATAAAGAAATTCAATAGTTAATATAAATTATGTCAGATTAAGTTAAAATATCATTAATCCCTTATTATAGTATCCGATTTATTATCAATGTATTACTTTTTTATATTCAAAAAGAAAAAACGTACCCCCACTAAAAGTAACCTACAAGAAAGGGCTTCGGTAACATAATAGTGATAAAAATATTCTTAACAATGATAAAAATCACAAAAGTTATAAATATCATAACGATATCAAATTTTTTTTTGGTGGCGCTATTCTCACTCCACAAAATTTCATTTCCACTTTATTTAATTTTTAATTATTAAATTATTAAATCCACCACTTTTATATCCACTTAATTAGTAACTAAGTTTACCTCATACTACATAC